CACTCATAAATGTCGTTTGCAATGTCTTGAATATATCAACTTCCGGCTCAGTCAAGAGTAAACATGACGCAGTCACTACGAAAAGTAAATACTAATAAATAAATAATTTGGCAATGGACATTCCACTGGGTGGCTCTTCTTGTCCACTGTTTCCAGATCGAATAGGAATTTGGAATGTTGGTTTTTGCGGAGGGAGGAAAACTGATATTCCATCGCTTGCATGCCTAAAAAGCTGAAAGACTGGCAGAAAAGCTTAAAAGGAGTCCCTTCTGTTTCTTGGGAAAGACCAAATTTAGAAGCATCATGGCTGAACATCACCATGAGATCCCAATCATTCCTTGTTGGCTGTGTCTACAGACCACCTGATGACTCCTCCTTTTTCCACTCTTTCAGAGACCTGATTACTAATATCTGGCTGAAAAGAAAAAATGTAATCCTTGTTGGCGACTTCAACTCTTATATGTTGCACAAACCTAACAATAGGGAATCCGAATATGGAAAACGCCTACGATGGATTCTATGTAGCTGTGGACTAAAAAACATTATCAACAGCCCAACCCGTATTAGTGCCAACTCCAAGTCACTTATTGACCTCGTGTTCACTAGTCAGCCCTCAAAAATCCAAACCTCTGGCTCCATCGACCTGGGTATCTCTGACCACCATCTAATATTCGCAGTCTTTAAAGTTGCAAGAGGTAATGCAAAACCCAAAGTTATCCCAACCAGGAATTATAACTCGCTAGACACAAGACAACTTAGAAGTGACTTCGACCAGGCTCCTTGGCATACAACTAGTTTATTCGACGACATCGATGACAGTGTAGACGCTTGGCACTGTCTATACAATGAAATCCTAAATCACCACCCACCCCCACGAGATGCTAAAATAAGAGATAAGGCTCTTCCTTGGATCAACACCTCCATCAGGAAAGAAATGAACAAAAGATACAAGCTCCTTAAAAGGTAAAGTCATCAGGCGACCCCAAAATATGGAGTCTCTACAAACAGAAGCGATATGAGGTTAAGAAGCTACTAAGAAGTGCTGAAGCTGATTATTGGCAAAAATTATTCAATGAAGCTACTGATTCTAATGAATTTTGGAAATTGACCGACCAAGTCTTGAGGAAACATGAAGTTAAAAACATCGGTCCAATCTGTGATTACAACGAGGAGATAATAACCCATGACTTAGAGAAGACAGAGTATTAAATGACTTTTTTGCGAATGTCGGCAAAGACCTCACTAAGCAACTTGACCCTTTGATCTTGTCGTCTATAAACACCTTTATCACTAGAGTCACTCCTACCAGGGACAAAACTGACATGAGCTGGGAACTGGTAAAAAACAAACTGATTAAAGCTGCTAGCCCCAAGAAGGCTACTGGTCCAGACCAAGTATCCCCCAGGGTCCTCTCCATGATTGGTGACCCAGTTATGCACASTCTTTTACCAATCTTCAGGAAGAGTATATGTGATGCATCTTTCCCTTCAAGCTGGAAATTATCACGTGTTAACCCCATATTTAAGAAAGGCTCACCAACAGAAGTGAACAACTACAGACCTATCTCCCTCCTCAGTATCCCTGGGAAAATCTTAGAAGATGTTGTCAGTTATACCTTGAACAACCATTTGAACACACAAGGCTTGTTATCTCATAGACAGTGGGGTTTTCGGAAAAATTATTCAACTGAAAGCCTCTTACTTCACCTAACAGAAACCTGGAAAAATGCGCTAGACAAGGGCCTGAAAGTGGGCGTGCTTTCTATTGACTTTCGAAAAGCATTCGACACAGTGAACCATACCATCCTTCTAGAGAAGCTAAAGGCCATTGGGATATTTGGCGATTTACTTTCGTGGCTACCGACTACATGTGTGCACGTAAGCAATTTGTCCAAATATCAGGATATCAGTCCGAGCCCAAAACCATCACACATGGAGTTCCTCAAGGCTCAATACTAGGGCCCGAATTATTTTCAATATTTGTAAACGATTTTCCAGCATCAATAACTAGTGGTGAATTATTTATGTTTGCCGATGATACCACTATTTTTACAATTGGGAACAACATCGACGATATCATCTTAACACTCCAGTCTGTACTAGACCAGCTGTACACCTGGTGGCAATCTAACAGATTAATCGCCAACGAATCGAAATGTGAACCCCTGATAATCTCTAGCCAGAACTTTATTGGCCCCCTGCCACGTTTGGCCTTTGGTAATATTTTTATTGAGTACAAATCATCATCTAAATGTCTTGGGGTGACAACTGACAGCAAGCTATCATGGCAGGAGCACATAAAGAACGTTTGTAAGTCATTTAGCAACAAAGTCGCAGTACTGAATCGGATAAAGTTTTTACCGATGCCAACCTTAGAAAACATTTAGTATAAAACTATTATCCCCAGCGTTTTGTATGGCATTGTATTCTGGGGGTCTTGTTCTTCAGCCTTGACGGATGATATTGGTCGAATTCATTTAAGAGCTACTAGAATTATTTATAACCTACCCCATAGCATCTACAGTGATGACATCATGAACGCTCCACTCTGGAACTCTATTGTTTTATTTTACATCAGGAGACTTTTAGTTATTACGTACAATATCTATCATGGAAATAGCATCGAGCCTCTAAATGACTTAATAGTGAAATCCGAGACTCCTTATGACTTAAGAAAATCCTTAAAAGTTAAGGTTCATAGACCAAGAACAAAAATGGGAAGATCTTCGTTTAAGCACAGAGCTGCACTATCCTGGAATCTCCTTCCTGAAGACATCAAGAACTGTTCAAACTTAACTTCTTTCAAGAGAAAACTCAGGGAAAATAAGAGAATTCTGAAATCTGTCAGTTTTGCTAAAGTTTCCCGCAGCGTTTCCAACGAATCTGTTGACTTTAAATGCTTTTAACATTTACTCCGTATTGCTATTAATATTTATTTCTTCTAATTGTCATTATTTACATACCCATTTTCGGTTTATTCACTAACTAGGTTTTTATTAATTGATAGTTTAATTGGTGCAGGTCCACATCAGGACGTAATAACTTGCCTATCCCTCAGCTTCCTTTTTTAAATAAACTATGATGATGATGATGAAAGCAATGAAGACAATGTAACGATCGAGACAGTCAAAACAATAGCTGTTAATCTCCAGGAACAAATCGCTCAGTTCGGCTGTATGATGAAAAGTTTAGGAACAATGGAGAAAAAAGAATTTGAAAAGTACACACGTGTATTTTCTGACAATGGAGAAAAAAGAATTTGAAAAGTACACACGTGTATTTTCTGACTCCAAATACAAACAAAGGGGCAAGAAACGAATTTCAAACGCCAAGCGGCTAGCAACTAACAAACGCAGGGGGCGCAGAAAAGTCAGACGCCAAACACGTTCAACTATCAAAATAGAGGCGAACAAAACGCACATAAAAAACCCTTCAAATAAAGAACTTACAAACGACCAGATTAATTTACTGGCAAAAGGGCTTAAAGACCTAAGGGAAGATGTTGAAGTTGACACCGCATCAGCAAAGTCGACCACGAGTCCGCTCGGTAGGTCTTACTTTTTTCCGCGGAATATTTAAATGGGTAACTCTGAGTGCCGCGATTTGTTTCTCATTGAGTTTGATTCCTAATAAATGAAATGACCGAGAATTTTCCTGAAAATGATGAAATATGAAAAGGATAATGAAATCATTGTTGGATCCAGGATTGTAAACATTAACAGTTTTATTATGAAGAAAATGGAGAAGTATAAATGTTGCCATAAAAATAAACATAATTTTAGAAAAAGTGAGTTTGCATTTTTAGAAAAAGTGAGTTTGCATTTCTAGAAAAATGCAAACTCACTTTTGTTAAGAAAGGATTGCAAAGTTTGTCTTGTTTTCCATTAAAAACGGAATAATAAAAGTTCGCGGTTATGACAGTGGTAAAGAGAGAAAAAGAAAAGTGAAGCCAAGGCTTGTTCATACCTCTAGTAGCTCGAAAATTAGAAATTTGCGAAATCTGTGACCAACCAATTGAGTGATGTATCTGAAACGCAGATACGCTTGGGCCACCTGCGGTAATACACAATCTAACCAGCTGTCAGCACTTTCACTGAACCACATCATTTACGATACAATCGCCAATTCTCATCACTTTCAGTGGCTATTTCACCATTTAGAGAACGCTCGCGCATTTTCGAGCGTTTACCCTAAGTCTGGATTATTTGTGGTGAAATCACTATATATAGTAACTTTACTGCGTTGAAAAAAAGGGATTTTCCCCAACAAATCGGTGTTGAGGAACGGTGTACGTGGCCCTAATCAGCGGATTATTAATGAGGGACAATTTTCTTTATATTTCCTAGAAACTTGTCACGGTTTGTAGCTTATCAAGGAAAGTAAACAGTTTTACTTCAAACTGAAAACAAGTCTTATTTGCATATTCAGAGCAGAAATTTGAATGACCGTAAAGCTCAATTGTAGACTTCACACTTGACTATAACTGCAAAAGCGGTCAAATCACTATGTATAGTGACTTAACTTCGCTGAAAAGAAAAGGATTCCTCACCGAATTGGTACTGAGGAACGGTGTACGTGACCAAATTAGCGGATTATTTATGAGGGAGAAATTTCTTTATATTTCCAAGAAACTTGTCTCGGTTTGTGGCTTATCGAGGAAAGTAAACAATTTTACTTCAAACGGAAAACAAGTATTATTTGCATAGTAAGAGCAGAAATTTGAATGACAGTAAAGCTCAATTGTAGACGTATACCCAGTAAACAAACTAGAAAATCGATTGCAGGTTTTCCACGAGAACAAATGAGTTATTTTGAGCTATCGCAGTCGAAATGTTATAGAATGCTGGTAGAGACAATCCCATCTTAAACTCATGTAATTTTAATGATATGAAAACACTTGCAATCTCTATATATATCGGCATTGTTTAGCAGCACTTCACATTTAGCTATAACTGCAAAAGTGGGTAAATTCTAAATTTGATCGTCGACGATCTTCAGACCATGGAGGAGAAATCAGGACAAGGAAATGAACCTACACCATCAACTGGTTCACCCGCAGCGAGTGGACAGCATTCATTACCTCAGGATGAGACCAAAGGAACAGAGAGTAATCAGCGCGAGACCCGAATGAAGAAAGAGAATTTGTACATGGTATTAGCGCTTTGGATGGAAAGTTTTCCGGTCATGGAACAGCGAGACAATGCCAAACACGTTAACAAAGTCGGTGTAGTGTTCGTATTACCAACCGATCGTGTCCTGACTGCCGACTGTAGTCGCGATGGTGTTCATGGTGTCGCCCGTGTCATGATCAACCACTGTGGGAAGCTTGAGGGCTGTAAAGTGTTTGTGTCTCGAAAACCTTGTTCCCTTTGCGCTAAACTTCTTGTACAGTCTAGAGTTTCGCGCTTGTTCTATCTACCGACACAGCCAGAATCGGACAACGAAGAAGAATTAGAAACAGTGGACAACCTCTTCAAAACCAGTTCCGTTGGTCAATCTGTCTTCGTCCCTTATGTCGACCAAAGGGTCCTAGATAGAGTGAAGAGGGAACTACCAAAAGAGATCACGTCAGATGAAATCAGCAAGGATCGAGATGAGCTCTTCAAAAAATGGTGGAGTGACGAATGGTCGGTAAGAGCCCAAAAAGTTCTTCATTGGCCTTGCTTCCAGGGTGAGATGGAAATTCAGGTTAAGAAGGATTTTAAATCCTTCATGGAGTAGATCACCGTTGTCGAAGCCCCTGTGGACAAAGGTGTTTCTTTCCGGAAGGTTACGCTTGACGCCAATTCTCGAGTGGCTCGTGGTAACGCTGCTGCTGCTGTTTTTTACCTTGACTTCGATACAGCTCGCCACTTGATAATTTTTGCCAAAATGCTTGCTACACAGACAGATGACCCCAAGAAAGGCGTTTGAGCTGTCATCGTAAAAGGCCTAGTTCCAGAGATAGTGTCTCTTGGATGGAATGGCTTTCCATCCAAGGCATTGTATGGTGAGTTTCCAAGAGCTTCCGATGACGACAGTGCGCACCAAAAAAAGTTCCCTTATGTGATCCACGCCGAGCAGAACGCTCTGCTTGTAAGGAACGCCAAAGATTTGACAAACGGAACCCTGTTTGTGACCAAGCCTCCATGCGATGAATGTGCACCAATGATCAAGCTCACGGGAGTTAAGACCATTGTAGTAGGTGAAATGATAGAGAAGAGTCAGGGAGGATATCTTTCCTACAATCTAATTAAAGAATACATTAAAAAAAAGGAAGTAAAATGCTACCAAATGGAACTCAAAGCCACAGAATGAAAGCGTTTGGGGCCTTATCCAGAACTAAGGAAGAAAATGAAATCGAGTTAAGTTGATACGGTTTTGTGAACCTTTGTAACAGATCTGTTGAGATTGACGTACGTAAGATTATTATCTTCCGTCTTACTCAGTAATGATATAAAAAATGTTTTTTTTTTGTCTAATATAAGAAAGATTCAACTAAGCATTATTTTTTTGGCTCGTACTCAGGCAAGATCGACTTCCCTTACAGGAAAGTTTTTGATATTTGCCTCGCAGAAGAAATGCAGCTTAAATTATGCTTTTACGCGTCGTATCCATTCAAAGGATAAGCTGCGACAGAAATATTTCTTATTAACTACACGCGAGGGTTTGAAGTTTTCTTCTTTGAATATGTCAAACTTTGTAAATCAAATGAATATCTATATTTCATTTGGTATAGCATGAAAGTAAAACACGAGGTTTTACATAATTTTTGCGCGAAAACATTTCAGAATGTTTTCATAGTAGTGCAATCTGTTCTTTACCTTTTTTTCCTCTCTCCTTTTCTAACATCTCCTATGCAATCGATATGAAATTTTCATACTAGGTTCGTAGTTTTCAAAAAATGTCGTAGATCTGCGCCTCAGAATAAATGAGGAAGCTTTTATTTAGATGCTGTATGCATTTGTCGTTTAATTTGTTATTTTGGTTTTGAGGTATTTTATAATTTGTGAACACCACTGCTTACTACTGCAATAGATTTGCAACATATTTACCGAATAGAGGAGGCATTTTTAGAAAACATAGAAGCTTTCATTCAATAAAGCTTCCGTTAATATTTAAAGCATCTGATGAACTTCCCCATTGGAACTTTGTGGCTCTTCACCCTGCCGAGAAAAATTGTTTTGTGATTGAGATGCGTCGAATTAGAATGTTTGTAGTCTTCCCATCAAATTTTATAGTGGAAATTCCTTGGCCTTTACCCAGTATCCCGTCCCACGATTTCAAAAGTTTAAAGGATCAGAGTCGTATAGCCTTGAGTAAGCATGCCTCCAAAAATAAATCGTATGTCTTACCTTGAATCTTCAAGCCCATTTCAGTCTGGAAATTTGACTTGGCATGACAGGTTTGATTTCAACTCATACCCCACTGCGGCCACCCATCGTCTGTTTGATGCACATGGTTAAATGAAGGCAGCTCTGCCGTTGCCGATAGTTATTAAAATTGCGATTTCAACTCCCGCAGAGGCCCTATTTTTCACTTCTACAGACCCTAGTTTTGTTTCGCAATTTACACCTGATTATAACTGCAATGAGTAAGCTTCTAGCTTGGATTGCCGATAATCTTCAGGTTACGGAGGAGAAATCTAGGAAATGAACTAACGCTGGTCCATTAGGATTCCATAACCGAAAATCTCTAACTCAAGTTTCGATAAGACAATTGAGACACGCGAACTGTACCTGTAATTCAATTAGCTTCACTTTGAATAACTACGATCTCTTTACGATGTTGAATAAGATAATGTGTTGAGTTCAAAACAAGTGTAGTGTTTGCTTTTGAAGATGATAAATGTAAATTGTGTACCTGTAATTTAATTAGCTTCACTTTGAATAACTGCTATCTCTTTACGATATTGATTAAGATAATGTGTTGAGTTCAAAACAAGTGTAGTGTTTGCTTTTGAAGATGATAAATGTGAACACAGGCGGCCCAAGCTCTCTTTGAGAACCACACAAGGAACACAATTTGCATATCGATTTATAAGGATTTGTATGGGATTTTCTACAAGATATCCATGGAGATACTTAAAAGTGAAAATATTAAATAAAAATGGCTTACCTTATTCCATACGTGTGTTGATTGCTCCTGGTGTCGTCATTTTACCGATTTAACTTGATTTGATGGTTTTTTTTTAACGCTGTGGCTATATGGCCGGTAACCGGTCAAGGTGTTAATAACACTAAATGACCGGCAGTCCGATATTTGTTTTAAAAAATCATCAAATCAAAAAATCCAAGCTAATCCAAACCAATGTCGATTAGGAAATGTCAAGCGATCCTGAAATGATTTAGAGCTCTCAAGTCCAGCGCTTGGTTTATGCTGGCTCAGAATTACGAAACCATGCTTTGTGACACTTAGAATATTTTCCAGGTCGACTGCCGGTCAAGATGTTTAAAACACTAAATGGCCTGCAGTCCGATATTTTTTAAAAAATCATCAAATCAAAGAATCCAAGCTAATCCAAACCATCGTAGGTCGATTAGGAAATGTCAAGGGATCCTGAAATAATTTAGAGATCTCAAGTCCAGCGCTTGGTTTATGCCGAGCACAGAGTACGAAAACATATTTTGTGACACTTAAAATTTTTTTCAGGTCGACTGCCGGTCAATTTTTTAAAAACACTAAATGGCCGGCAGTCCGATATTTTTTTTCTTTTTTTTTTGTGTGAAGCAATGATGTTCGTGGGAGTGGATTTGTAAATGTCGTTGTACAAATGTCCAATGGTTCCTCGGAGTCACCCGTCCCCTCTGGGATGGCTGCTGGATGAGTGCACCAACGATTACAGCCCCCTATCTAAGTCTTTGCTGAATTTTCGTCAAGTTAACAACATTAAACGACAATAAACATTGAACAGTAGTGAACATCGGAATGGAATGTTGAACAATGATTTTGCGAAAGCCGGAGTGAATTACTGAGACGGCTGTATTTGGAGGCTAGGTTTCCAGTGATATTCTGAGTTTAGAAAGTATTGTTCAAGCTATAATATAAATTCGATTCATTCCTTAAGATATGTAGGGAAACTCTATATTCGTGTTTCTAACTCCAACAGAATAAAATGTGATTATAATGATCTGTGCTGACCAATCGAAGTAAGGGTAAAATTTAAACCATTTCATTACGAATTAGGAAAGTGAAAGTTGTTTTGAAGGAACATTACACTATTACAGCAGTGGTATAAACGATGAAACTTTTGACGTAAAGAGGAAATGGGACGAGAAAATGTATCGCTATCTCAAATAGTATTTTTCTCCAAACTACTTCCCTTTCTTGCAATGTACCTTGCGGAACTGTGAACTCCAAACCATACAGATTATATGCCTCGGTCATGACCTTGCGCTAAGATAAGGTTGAAACCATGCATACATATAATTAAATCAGGCCTATTTCTAGTGGTCGACTCTCCTGCTTCATTACTTATTTGTAAATAATCATGCATATTTCATTCTGCACGATGTGCAGAACCAGTTTCTGTTCTTTGGGCGCTTTTTTAGTGAGGTGCATTTGAAATGCGACCAAATAAGACACCTGTCACAAGCAATGCTGCCTTCATATTCGTCTTTTATCATCTTTGAGCACACAGAACAAACAAAGTCTCTGCAGTTCTTCTCTTTACTTGTTTCGAGAACTAACAACCATGCTTCTTTTTCAAAACATTTTTCAACGCGGTGGATGTCCACCATTTCCTCATCCCTGATAGTATCCGATATGTTGCCAACCGGCAAAATGTCTTCTTTGTTCAGCAGTCGTTGACCCGCAATGGCTTCACCACAGCATGTGACTCTGAAAGAGAGTACCGGATCATTCGGTCTTTTTCGATTGGACTTAGCTTCTTGAATGGAAGAAGTTTATTTTGACTTTCTGCTTTCTTTTGTTTCCACGGGAGGCCAATTACTGTCACTTCCGCTCCCTTCGGTCGGCCTCTTTTGAGAATCTTACGTGGCATTCTTATTTTGGACAAATCAGGCGACTTTATGTCGTTCCTCTCATCATCATTTGCTTTTACGGAGTTCTCCTTTAATACCTGCTTCTTAATCTCATTTTGAAGTTCACATGTCTGCTCCTTGTTTTCGATTACTTCACTCGGCGTTTTATCTTCTGGTTAGAGTTCTCCTTCATTGGCGTTTCCAGTCTGCTTGTTCTCCTTTACCAGTTCTAGAGGCTCCTCTGCTGTCGTATCTTTCCTCGTGGCTGTCTCTCTACCCACCTTCTGGACATTGACTTCATGGTCATGTTTCCAGTTCTTTACCAAAGAGTCCAAGACTTCATACCGTCTTTTAAATGTAGACATACCACCCTCGCTGACAAGTGAGGCGAGAACTTGTGCTATTTTTAAACCTTTCTTGAATTTTTGTGATTGTGTAAGAGTGCATCTTTCTTCCTCGTGGACTGGGACATACTCAACATGATGTTCTGGTTTATGGTCAAGGAGAATAGGAAGTGCCGGGCTCAGACGGTTTGTGGTAAAATAGAAATCCATTTTCCAACGCTTATGCACTAAGGATTCATCGAAAGCTGGAAGAATGACAAGCTCACGAACTTTAAAAATGTGTTTGCAGGGAAAGGACATACGAGTAAAGAAGGGACAGTCGCAGTGAATGGACGAAACAACAACTGTTTCCTTATTCCTCTTTTTTGACCCACACTGAACGAACTCACCGCTACTCTTTTGTGACAAAACGCCGACTTTAGGTACAGACTCATACTGGCTGCGAACGAACTTGAATGCATAAGGCGTGTGTGTTTTTTAATATTCCTGAAGATCTTTGCAGAGATGTTCAAAGTCAGTTTGCCTTCTTGAGATTGTCATCACGTAATGGTGGTTTCTCTCTTCTCTTAAGTAGTGCAGCACTGACATGAATTCTGTGCAAAACTGCAGCAAACTTGCGTATCTCGAACAAACGCTCTTGAACTTGCTGAAGGTGGATTCTAGTCTGTTTTTGGTGGTTTCACCTAAATTCATATGCTTGTCCTTTAGGCAAGCTACCCATTGTTCTCTTACAGGATGCCAATTCTCCATGACATAATCAATGACACTTCTGATATTCGTGTGTTAAGTATATCAAGATGTTTTTCGTATTCACCTACACTCTTAAAATATGCCAATGAGGACAAAAGTTCCAGTACCCTCAGCCTCTCTGCGGATGTAATGCCCATCTTCTCACATGTCATTTCTCGCCTGAAAGATCTCATAGTGTGGTTAAGGCAAATATTTAAACTTGCAGCGCGAAAGCAGGCTTTAAACACGTCTCGTTCTGTGAAATCTTTGTCTGACATGACAACTTTTGTTTTATCCCAAGAAGGATTATGCTTTTTGAATAATTCGACAGTTGCCTTTATCACCTCCCTTGTCTCTTCCGATACAATGAACATTGCTACAACCTCACTAAGTCCGTTACCGTCAATGCATATAAGCAAATAAACAGGCATTCGAAGATCTAACAGCTTGTACGTTGTAGCTACTAGAAGAATTTCTGGGAAATGGGAATAAATGTTTCGCATGTGAGCGTCTTGATAGAATAGACCTTTGAAATTATTATCCTCGTCAACCACAACATCTGTGCAACAACCGGGTT